GACTAAAGCTCTTGTCCTAATGATCGAGTCTCCTTCTCCAGGTCTGCTTTCTAGGACTCGTCTCTTCGCATCTATTGGTAATTCTCTCCTGTTCTCATTTAGTGGCAAATGGCGTCTTCTCCAAGTGCTTTACTTGAAAAAAAGAATATCTTTTGGTTTAAAAAGGCTTTTAATTATGAGATCTTTTAGAACAATAAAGTGACCATTTATAAGGCATCACATTAGCACGTTTGTCGTTTGGAGACCCCGAATGCGAGTATAACGGTGGATAATGCGGAAAACTGTTTGGAATTGAACAAACCTTTAAAATCCGAAGATTCTGTCTTTTCAAGTTCATAATTTAAAGAAGACGTATTTCACTACCGACTGAGTGCAAGAGATAATATTTCTTGCCTGCTTTCTATATGACATAATTAAATTTAAAAGGCCATCGAAAATCAATAAAAAAAATTCATACTAAATAAGGGACCATTTTCACATAGCGCAGTCATTTGTAGACGGCCAAAAAGAGGCTCGTTCAAAAGTCGGCATCCCAGCGTAACTGGCATATTTTAGAATTATGCTGCATGATAATTGACATTACAACCCTATGCAAGTGATCGTTCGAATCACAAACACATTTCAGACCTAAGGTTAACATTCCATGTGATAGCACACCTACTGTACTCTTATTCCTGCACATATAAAGGTTCTCCTAGGTTCTGATAGTTCCTAAGTAATCATGCGTGCCTCTTAGTTTTAGACGGCTGCTAAATCAGCAAACGAATGTCTAAAATATAGAACTTTAATCCCAATCGCCTAACCGACGAACACACTTTTAAACTAGCCGACTGAGTGACAGTTCGACCATCGTATGCGGCAACGTTCGTCGCTGCCCCACGAGGCAACGTATGTGTGAATTAACTGACAGTGCGGCGGACTTACGCAGCCTCTCCGCACTGTCTTCTACCGCACTCGTCTTGCCCCAATAAAGAGACAGCCATTACGGCTGCTGGCGAGCTAGAGAGTTGTGGCTGACGGAGCTAAGCTATCTGTCTGATGCGCGCAACTGGCAATTCCGTTTCCACCTCATATGCCGGTACATATGAATAAGTTCGTAGTTAACACAGGAGCATCTAATTAACTCTTATTTTACCTATTCTAATTTGAAGTCAGCGCTTGCATGTTCGAGGAAATTCGACGGACTTGATATTTCGCGTCGGAAATATTAAAATCAGCGATTAAATAGCTCGTCATCATTGCTACCGCTCCAAGTAGAATTGAGGATGCATTGTAAGTCGGAATTAGCATGTTGATACGAGGAGTCTTTCAGCAATATGTAGTTAAAATATTGAGCTGGGAAAATTTCTGGACCAAGCCAAGCCCAAGGTAAATAGTACGGTGTTAAGAATTAATTGTATGACTTAATAACTCCATTAAAATATGAACAACGCGGTTGGTTCCAAAGCAAAAATTAATTGGAATATGCATACCATTTCCTACCAAATTGGAGTTAAAAACATCAAATTATGAAATATGATTTTCTTATGCATTCATCAGATGTCCTAATAAGAAGAAGTTGGTCAGATGTGCTTATGTAGTCGCACCTAAGGTAAATAAACCCCGATCACCCGTAATATGGGATTGGTGGTTATAGGGGATGTAACAGCCGGGGCCGAGGAACTCAAAAGGGACGAGTTCAAGTAATTGTATGCTACTGGGAAGGCACGGTTGTGCATTGAGTGGTTGAGGAACAGTTGCCCTAACATCTAACCCTAACCTTTAACCCCCAACCTTAATTCCCAAACCAAACCCCTGACACTACCCCTAACCCCAAACCTGACCCTTAAATCCTAGTCCTAACCCTAACCCTTAACTGCAGCCCTAAATCCTAACCCTGAAGCATCTAACGCAAAAGTTAGGAGGAGACGAGGCCTGAAAGTGAAGAAGGACCACAGGCATTGGACCAAAAAGACAGACACGGCAACAAAGAAACACGGCCGCTAACAGAACACACACCACAACGCACAGCAACACCATGCCAACGTAATCACACCAATTCAAAATAACTAAGTAGATCAACAGTATTGTGTCCAGTAGGCGCGGCCACATAACCACATCTTACCAAGTAGGTATCAGGAAAGTAGTTAAATCGTCATGTTTTTGGAGGTGCTGGCAACAAATTGATTGCATTATTTTGCTGTCATTGAATTATTTGCGGCGGTTTGCAGAGTGATTTGCGAATTTTATTGCGCATAATCATGCAAAGCGCTGGCGATTTTGCGTCGCCGCAAAAGTTAGATTTCTGGTTACTACCGCGTTTCTATGTCTTCCTACTTTGTGCGTACTCCTAGAGAGAAGCAGCCTGTAACTCAGGAAACCAGGAAGGATCAACAAAACAAAGGTCTGCGCGTGGACCCTCTATTGAACGCTGGGTTCATTTGAATATCAAGCAGGGTGATAAAGGTATGCATTTCGGGTGCTTCTCGAGTTTTGTTCTACTTTCCGCTTACAACGACTATTTGTGGTAAAAATGTCATCTAAAAATGAAGCGGGAAAACCAAACTCAAACCTATTTTTATTTTCTTAAAAGGCAGCGCTGATATTCTCACGTGGTCTGAAAGTATAATCACCTGGTTACGTCCTCCAGAACTGCAAACTGATTCATCGGCTTTATAATTGTCGTTTTAGTTCTCGTAGATAGTTCGCAAAATATGAAATTTATCGGTTTCAAACCCATTCGTTTCATACACATGCGAAGATGATTTAATTGGTGGGCTTTATTTAAAACGTCCCTCAGTTATTTACGTCGATCACAGCACACATCGCCTTTGTAAAACTACTTAAAGATTTAGGTCAGTATATTTTAAGGGTAATAGGCAATGCCTCTGAAAACCCTTTCTATATTTAATGTCCATGTTTTGGTGCAAATGTCGATTTAATGTTGTCCTTTTCTAACTCCAGATCCTATTTCCCTGTTTTGCTTTTAAGCGAGCTTAAGGCACATCAAACCATCCTCTGGGAAATCGACTACAAAGGGCGGTTCTGAAGGAACAACCGACACCTTTGGATTGGAATCTGAGTATCCTTGCGAGTTCGCAGTCTGCTTAACCCAAGCCCAACTCGTGGTCATCTCCACTGTTACCGTTATTGTTGTCATAACCGTAGGGCTTGTTTCTCTTATAGCCCTACGCCAAAAGCATCTTTTTCTCCCAATTGACTCAAGGAGTAACCGTAATGCGCAGACGACTGGAACTCTGCAATATCAGTTACAGGGAGAAATACGGGGTGCAACGGGCACAATAGGCGAAACAAGCGGTTTTCACAACGCAAAGCCCTATGACTACATCAACTGCGCGAGTCGCCTCCACGATTGCAATCCTCCATCCACCTATTCCGACATAGTCTTCGCCCATGAGCCCTGGATGCAAACGCCCATTTTCCACCGGTCAGCCCCCAACGAAACAATACCACGATCCTCGCTGGTACACAAACAACACACCAATTTCTTCCTCATTCCTACTTCTACAGTCGGTCAGACCAAGGCCGATGGGAACATTAGAGATGTCGTAGAACTTGACCCTAACGTGTACAACCCGGACATTGTCCAAAAGACCGTTACTACGTCAGCTGCAGATGCCAGCATTTTATCTCAGACCCTCCTTAATCCAGGAGAAATGAGCTACCAAAATAATGCTCATGGTCTTATGATTAGTAATCCGTGTCTCATGACGGGCACTACAGCAGAAAGCAGGGGTCACCGTCAGACGCATCGGCCGACGAAACAGAGTGCTGCTTTCCTGCCACGACATGAAGTGCAGATCCATATGACCAAGGATAGTGACCCTAACCAAACTTTCCCAGACGATTTGTCCAAAGCAGTTGAGAATTTGCCTACGACTCTCGAAAATCCCTTCCTCGAAGACGGCGACGTCCTCCTTGAGACTGGGAGGGAGAAGCTAAATCTTTCCGGCTCTTACCTTCGCCTCCATCCAATCAGTGGAAAAATAGATAAGAAGTCTAGGAGACGGCAACAGGTCTTCTTGCGTGCAGGCCTTAACCCTGCCGTCAGCTTTGTGCCCCAGATAGAGGACTCGCTAATCAAACGCCAACAACCACTGGCGTCAACCCCAGGCACCGGTCATCCTACCTCCTGTAATGGGTTAAGCAACCAGGAGAAACCGATTCAGGTTGCAAGATACGACATAGAAGGGACGGAGACGGACAATGAAGTTAACCAGCATCTTTCACTCTTCCAAATTCAGAATCCTGCTGTCTCAAAAACGCATGAGACCACGGAGTTTCAGGTCGGAACTTCTCACACCAAACCCACAGTTCCACAGTGTCTATTTTATGACTGCAACAGTAAGTGCTGTTCAGAACGTGTTGGGACAGTCAATATAGCGAGAACCGTCGCAACTGATACGAGCCAGGCGATCGAGGAACAGAGCTTTTCCATTTACCCCGTTATGAATGAAGCTCGATGAGCCAACCAACCCAGTGATATCCAGAACAACGACACCAACTGTACTTTTTTTCAAAAATACGGCAATCAGCATTTTGCTCAATGACAAGTCTAAGGATACTAAATCAAGTTAACCCGGCAACTGACGACGGGAGATCTCTGCGGCCATTCTGCAATCCAATCACATTTGTAATTTTGAATGTATATATGTACAGAGAGTGGATTTCAAACAAACTTGAGGTTGGGTGTGGCGTGTCGATTTCTTTTGTGCAATATCGCGCAGTGAAACTTCATTGTCTTCCTATGACAACCTACTGGCTGAAAAAAACAGTGTCTATCACAAACCTCACCTATGCAGCTCGAACTTTTCTTTAAACACGGAAACATCCTTTCCTCAGTTTCAACTACCTGTTTGAATAACATATCTACAGCGTTATTCATATTTCCTTGTCATTTCAGCAAGTACTATCGTGAACCATGCAATCATAAACAAGTTTTCAGCGCAAGTTAAACGCAGATCTAAGCGCAGTCTCAGAGTAGTTAGCCGCTGACAAAATAACCTCAAATACATCCGCTAACGAGAGCTTAGTCTTTTCACAGGTAAAGTAAATTAAATCCTTAAAAATGGAGCATTTTCTACAGTTTTCTTCTAAATGTTCAACCGATGTTTGCGTACATGCTAAGTAGTTCTGAAATAGCACGTGTGTTTTAATACTTTGAGATGTTTGGATGTTTAATTTAGCATAGGCTGCAGTTGGAGTGTGTAATCGATAGTTTATGTGGGCTCCAAAATGCAAAGCTACGCTATGATACACAAATTTCGATGAACTGGAAGATGGCCATCTCAAGAAACATAATTCAAAGAAGAATGAGTCTGGGGAACAAGGCTCAAAAATTTACGAAATAAAGTTCGTTAATTTCCCCAAAGGACTCATTTTTCTTCAAACAAATTTATATGCATGCGCGGTGGATTATTATTTAACAGTTCATGTTTATTGATGATCAGTTTGTTGGGAAACAAGGTGGTGAAACAAATAAGGACAAATGGAACTCACTCTGGACACGGTGACATCGATCTCTTATGTGTCTCAGTAAAGATGAAAGCAGTCTTTCCTGAGAATTCAAGTTCGTCAATCTGGCATGCCCGCATATCCATCGTGAAACTTTTCTGCGACGACTATCAACTGAACCCGTAAAAGTCATATTTTGCAGGCAAACATCCAGTAATCTAGGCATTGAGGTGTATTCTGACCACTCGACTGCTGATTGTCTGTCCGAGTACCAGACACCGACATCGTGATTAGAAACGTTTTGAAGTAATTGCAGAAATTGCTAAGTCAAATTCGGAAACGTTTAAGACACGAGCATTTAGTGTGCAGTAAAGCCGTATTTTCAGTAGTAGGCACTCTCAGGTTTGGGGTTGAAATTAATGTGCCAATCTTCCGCATTTGCATACATTATAACATGTTTTTGCGCAAACGGCATCATTCACTGCCAGCGAAGAAAGTGATATGCGGGGTTTAGATGCTAAAACACTTTTTACTCAAAACGCCATAGGTAAAGCGCTGCAAAAACGGCTAGAAAGGACTGAAATGTGCAGTAGCAATGTGAGTCGTAGAAAGTTTGTTTATAAAATAGCTTGCAAAAAACGTCAGGTAGATGTCTCCCTCCACTTAGAGGGGGCTAGAAGCGACCGATCAAATACTTAGTAAAAGATAAGGCGCATATGGAGACAGGAATTCGATATTTCTTCGGGACGCAGTTGAAGAGTTTGCATCGGATAGGGACCCATTACTCACAAAAGGTCCACTGACTTTTTGGAAGCATAAAATCAGTGAAAGTGAGAAATAAAGAAAATTGGCGAAAGCACCCTTAGTTAGCGCAACCAAAGAAAACCCTTTGCTCACAGTTATAAGGGCACGTAAGTAGCTCTAATTTCCATGAGACGATTACTCATGTGATAGAAATTCGCTTGCAAGGGAAGAACTCCGTGTTGGTGTGCTCTTGAGGACCAAATCTAATAGGACTGACAGTTGGCTTCTGCATACATCCACAATACTAATAATCTGTTTACTTCAAGCCTTTTATCATTTTTTATGAGGCGACAGCCACAGATGAAAATTTTCTGATGGAAGCTTACGCAAACCATTTGTGCGTTGCTGACCCAGCCCTTATTTACTCTGAGGGGCAAATAAAGCAAAGGTAAACTATATGGTTGATTTGAATCCGTCTTCCCTGTTTGGCCACTTCACATGCATAAATGTCTGAATAGAAGGTCACTGGACTTTGAATTTTAGGACATCAAACTATATGTATTGTAAAGCATGTTTATTTTCAACAATATGTCATCTTCGCCCAGTTGCCATAAATATAGTCCTAAAACTCAGGACGGGGAGAAGGAGGACGCGGTTTGTCTCTGGCAATACAATTACAGGGCCACGAAAGCTGGCCGTATTAAATTGATGTCACAAAGTGAGGCATTTCCTGGAATGTGGGGCATCAACTAGGCTGCACCTCCATCTATTGCTTTCGTACTCAGAAATGGGGACTTCTACGAATACACCAATCACTTTCGCTTCTGACTTTTCCTGGCAAAACCTCGGACGACAACCCCATTCATGAAGAAATGCAGCAATCTTCAGTTTTGCGTGAATACTTGTTTTTGACAAGAGAAAATTAGTAGGTGTCTTCTTTAAAGTTGCACAAGCTTTTATTTTGCGCAATTGCGGTGCAGTATATTAAAAAGAAAAGTTTTTAGGAAAATTGGAGTTTTCCAAATGCGTTTCAGGCAATAAACTGAGAGGATTTGGGCTTGGAAGGCGAACAGAGCAAAGAGCTAACTGCATTCCGCATGGATTGAAAAGGAATGTGCAACGGGTTTATTTTACTCATTATATTTTTTTTCGTAGCTTGACAGATCGAATAGGTAGGTTGGTTTAACTACTAGAAAATATCCCAAGGCCGTGCATTTGACAGTGATTCGACGCTGATTTAACACTTCTGGTTAACATGGTTGTGACAGCTGTCAAAATTAAACAGACAAGATTATTCATGAAACGAGAGTAAATCCAAAAAGAATTTGTACCTAATTCAAAACCGACTCAAATGTATAATCTGAGACACTCCGTGCAACCTGCAGTTTCCTAAAATTACATATAAAAGAAAATATTTGTGCTAAAGGTTGACACTTTAAATGGTTATTCGCCGAGGTATGGTGCAGAGTAATGTCTAAATCCTCCAACTCTTTCAAAATGAAGTCGACCTACAATTGAAGCATTACGCTTCCACTTTTACTCATTTATGAACCTTTGTAGATTCAGATTTAAGGGTTCTATTTTTATTTTGCACTGATGCTTGCCTTGTTTGATTTATTTCGAGCTCAGTTCTAGAATATAAGTCCATCGAAGGGTGATTAATTCCATATTTAAATATATCTCAAGCGTTTCGCAAGAAGCCCGTCTCTTTCTCGAAGTATTTTTTCAGCTAAAAACAAACTGAAAAACAGCAGCTTCACTTTTATCTGAAGGTTTAGCTCCCAGTGTGATGGAGAATTTCTTTCACTTGCCTACAATTAAAGCACTATGCTAAGATGGGACTGGTATCGGATGCCACATATATGGAAATGCCGTCCATATATTACATAATAGTAGGCTAGTTCGGTAACAGAAATTCTGTCCACGTTTTAAATGCCCCTATTGCAACGAATAAAAATGCAGGTTTATTCGAAAAAACCATATGTGCACTTAAATTCAGTGTATTTGCGGAACAAAACAAGTGGGAACGTTGGCTGATAGGAACACTTCGGAACGTTACCAAGCAGCAAAATCAAGGTAGCAGTAAAATCTGAAGAGTGAACTGTGATCCGATAAAAGCATGAAAAATCACACAATTATTTGTGGAGGTGACCTAAATTTCCAGATGACTTTACTTCATGAAAGATCATGAATTCTCCACTATCCAAAATATATCGTTACTTCCATGTCTGAGCACAATATCTCCAGTGCTAGTCACAGATTCTGACTGAAGTAACACCTCATAATACCACAGGGTAACTATTGTATGTTGATTATGACATATGGTCTTTTAGGTCTCCATGACCCAAAACTGTTGCTGTTGTCCGCAAAAGAGTTAAAATATTCACATACCGAAGACTTAACGCACATGACTTTGTTTTATTAACGTATTATCATTGCGATTGTTTATCCATATTTCATTCGCTTTTATAATTTAACTAAACCCTTACGGATTTGCTTTATCGTCTCCAGCTGTATTTTGATAAGTATGCTCTTCTTTCTGCACTGCTGTACAATTTTTTAGGCTTCCATGATTGACAGCAAAGAATTGCATCGAACTGTCTTTAAACCGATAATAAAAGCGCAGTCTCTTGAGTGGAACATTTTGAGTAACTCAATTCCCCATCCAAAACTGCACTGCGCCAGTAGCATCAAGAAAAGTTCAATTACCAAATTATGCATCCCCTGAAAGTCATTTCACTATCTGTACCAAAGACTCTTATGAGGTGCTTAAGATGCCATGATGAACTAAAGACCATTGACATTCGTTAAGGTACGATTTCAGCACCTATTTTCCGATTCCGCTCCAACCAATTTCTTTGAATATAGATTTTTAACAACTGTCGAGATATTTCTTACCAACAATGTGTGAGTTTCAGTATGACGCGGGTTTTGAGAAAGCAGCTTAGAAAACAGAACATTCTGGAAAAACACTGTCGCAAATATAGTGCCTGACCTTAGATTACGGAACAAATCTGATCACATAAAATGCGGCCTAAATTCGTCGACCAAAACATCCAGCCAATAATAAATAAAGTGACTGAAAATAAAATCATACAAAAATATTTTAAATGCTATTGTGCTGCTAAGCAATTATAATTTTCTTGATTGAAGTGGAAAAGTTAAAGAGGCAAAAGGCCACATCACGAGAGTAAACTCATACTTAAGAGGTGCATAAAGCCTGTCCATGAAAACGGCTAAGTAACTGGAGCGGCACAAGCATAAGAAC